GTATTCTACTCCTGTATTATGTCTTCTTTCGTCTTCAGGGAATTCTCGGGACGCTACAAGTTTATGCAGAAATAAACAAACAAATAAAGGTTCGTTAAGTCCTCAAATCTATAAAACCAACTCTTTTTGACAAAAGTAAACTTGGTCTTAGTATAATGGGTCATAGAATTTGCAAATGATTCAAGCTTCGATTCATTAGACCTACCAATCAATAAAACATGTCTTTTTTCCATCTTACTGAGGTAATTTTACATCTTTATTAGGCCCAAGAAGTACATTCAAAAATAAAACTAGAATGCACTGCAGAACCAAAGGTGCGATGACACGCTCCTTTTTTAAGGCTTACTCTACAATATGGATCCCTATCGTTACTATTCGTCACCAAGTAATTCCTTAAATCCGCACGACCATTTTTAAAGCTAGCCGCACATTCGCCTACGATTTTGCATTTTGGTGATTACGTTTCTTTAATTGAATCAAAAATGACTAATTTGGTTTGTGCCAATGGTATGTTTTAATTATTTAAGCTTAATGGTGCGCTAAGCAAAATTTCCTCAGTTAACCAATAAACCTTTGAGAACGGTTTGGTGCGGAGGTAATGATCCAGTCGTAATGTACATCCTGAATGACCATTAATACTGTACTACACACACATTGACTGGAATGTTTTATCCTGGTAGATGATTAGAGTGACTGGTTGCAGCCCTTTTTGCCTTGCAATACTTTGTCTATTCTAAGTTGATTTCCCCTACTTGATTTTAGTACTTAAGTAACCTAAGAATATTTTCTACACGCTTTTCAAGGAACCTGTTTTATGCTATACGCTGGTGTATGCTGATCATTTTGCTTGGTAACAGTAATATATGGTTTGTATCTGATGAAGTACTTGAGGGCATGATTACTCGCTGCTTTTATAAATTGTTAGTTTGCGATACGAAGTCCCTTTTTCAGTTTACACTTTGACTAAAATAGTTACAGTATCAAAAGACTCTAAGGTAGCAATGACGTCACTTCGATTCCTTTAAGGCGGAGAAATTTGATAAATTTTTTTCCAATCATTGCAGACACTTGAATTGTATGGCACCATCGCGATGTATTCGTTCTTGCGCTACTTGGCCGTCCTCAAAACGTTCACATATTTTGAATTCGAACCTCTTTTCCTGGGTCCGTCGAATCTCACGACAAGAACTTCGCGAGTTCTTCGACGACTCTGGGTCAATGTCGAGCAGGAAGATTCCTACTGACGAAGTCAACCGACGCATTTTTGAGAACGAATTCATTTGCTTTCCCCATGATCACAGGGTTGGGTTCACCGCTAATCAGGTATGCTCATCTCTCATAGCTCATTCTGTTTTGATTTCCATGTATTTGATCGGCTTTTTGCCGAGGTCTCCCTTTCTAACCATAGTTCCTTTGTAAATTCAATTTGTTTTTTTGTACTTTGCGTTCATAGTATGATTGTTAGCTGCTGCTCCGCGAAAATAAGTGTTTTAGTACATTTTCCAGTAGGCATCTTGCTAAGCCGATTATTCTTCCTTTTCGCTTCTTATAAAAATGATTATTTTTTGGGATTACGCTATCTTTTTTACATGATTTTGCTTCTGATTTAAGGCATATAGAGTCATTTTTCAGTAGCTTTATGTGCGTTGTGTTTACTAAAAGCTTGTCCATTGATAATATAGGCCATAATTTCAGTCGTTGTATTTGTTTTTCAATTGACCGCATGACAGTGAATTACCCGTCACGGGACTGCTTATCATCAGCACGATTGTTTTGCACGCTCTAAGGAAATATCGAGTTGTTTTTTTACCCTTTTCGCAAGGAAAGCGATTCATGAAGACCTTCAAAAAGTGTTCCATTTTCGAGGCTCTTCTGTCTGCTCCACTGTATTCGCTGTAGATATCGATATTGAGAGTGCGAGGAGGCTAGAATATGCCAAGTTACTAGAGGCCGGTAATAAACCCCAGACCATTTCGTCCTGTTGTGAAATAGTTGACAAAGTGTCGACTATAACCGTGGGTGGGGGAATCTTTATTGTGAAGAGATATTGGGTGTTTTTATGCTTTTGCAGAATTCATAACGTGGAGTTGAATTTTGCATTTAGCTATCAAGTTATTTAATTGGAGTTGACAAGTGTTAAATTTGGCTGTAGGACACTCATCAATGGGCTCTGGATTCATCACTTCAACTATGCTTCATCAATGCATCCATCCACCTTTAGCTCATACATCCATATTCAGTTCGATTGTCAACTCATATCCATCTTTCTATTCATTTATGCCTCCAACTGGATATTTACTTAATTATTCATCCATTTATCCACCCATCGATCTCTAATCCATCCATTCTTTCATTCATCCATCGATTTGTTTGTCCATTTGTCCAATCTTTTAATTTATTCATGCATTCCCTTACTCACCTATCGAGGAAACAACTTTTCTGTCCCCCATTGTGATTCGAAACCTGAGATAGAAATACAGTACCAGTGAGAGTGCATTACGACGCAGTACGTAGTGCAAAGTGAACAAGCTAGTATGGATGTGCGATAACAGTAGAGGTGGTGGTGATGGTTATTGAAAATTCAGCAGTATTGACGGCTAGGTAAATAGAGAACTCAGACTTACTACCTCATGCACTGCATCGGTACACCTTTGACAGAAGCGATTTGTGGCGCACCCGTCCATCTATTCACCTTCCCATTCATCCATCCACTCATTTATGATCTACTCATCAAAGACCCACTCCTTCATTCACCTATCCATTTATTCATCTCATCAATCCATTCTTCCTTTCTTTTAGCTATCAATTCGCTCCCTCATTTATCTAATAACCGAGTCGTTCATTTTTCATGTCTCAGTTACAGCCAGAAAGGCCTAGTTAAAGCATAAATGGTGGTGGAAATTTAACATCATTGGTAGTTTTTAAACACAGTGTTGCGTGAGGAAGCTTGATTTATCATTTGTTGCTCGTCACCGAAGTCGGCATTTTAAAGCGAAGATAGGGATGTTGGAACGTCAGTAGTATCGATAGGTGCACTACTTAAATGAGGTCAGACTTTCCCTGCATGACTTTTCGTAGTTGGACGTGAACCGCCCGGTGGAAGACCGGTGGTCGGCGTACCGACTGGGTGGAACGATGTCCTTCAGCGTGCAAGAGGGCTTTTACGACTCTTTGCATCCGCTGGCTCGCTACACGTCGGAGTTCGCGGGGGGTCACCTCTTTACCGTGGTTGACGGCCATGCAGGTCATACGTGCGCACACGCGGTGAATATGCTGCACGCAGACTACATTACCGCAAACTTGCTGCCACACCACCTCCTCGCTCCTCTGCACGCTGCTCTCAGACGCCAGAGCCTGCCTCACGCGCCGCCGCAGGTGGGTCGCTCTTCCTATACCCTCTGTCAAAATCATTTATGCATTCGGCAGTTAATTAACCCCTCATCTAGCCACGTGTCTCCTGAGATAGATTGCTCTCCCCATCTCCTCACCTCTTCATTCATTAATCCTCTCTTGTACTCATTATTGATTGGTCCATTGAAAGCCATCGATATCGGAAGTTCAGTACACGGTCATCTCCGTATGTAGTGGCTTCCCACTGACAACTCAACCAACTGCCAGCAACTGTGTGGTATATGTAAATTTCACTGGAGGGGAACAATACTCTAGCATTTACTTTTTTGTGGATTAATTTAGCATAAAATATATTTATATTTAATTATAATGCCTAAAATCGCGAGACCAAATTCCCTCAGGGAATGCTCTATTAGTTGAACGGCCACTAGAACTGATTAAAGATTTCAACAACTTATTTTCATATCAGCAGATTATGGGCTAATGTGATTGTGGTAGATTAGAATCTGTGTAGGATCTGCTTCTGACCTCGTGTCAACCTTAAGTTCACCGGTCACCTGACAGATGCGCATTAGTGCACGCATGAAACATGAGTCCAGTGTTATATTGTTGGAAATCAGGCAACAGAGTATGTAATGGAAGTGTGTACTTTAAGCAAAATGCAAACGAGATCATTCCTGGTTTCAAAATTACGCAAATGCTTGTACTTTTGCAAGACAAAAGTTGGATTTTTTTTGTGAGGGGCTGAGCTAAGCTACCACGGAATTTTTAATTAAGATTTCGTAGACAGGTGTGTGGCCAAGTTGACGCGTCTGTTTGTGCATTATTTATGAAAAGGAGTTTACTCCGATCATTAAACATGTTTCTTTGTCCTTGCAGCGGCTCGTTTAAGGTCCGTGCTCTGACGAGCCTATTCGTTTTAGAACAAAAAGTTTGTAACAAACCGCGAAACTTTTTTTGTACTTTGGTAAAAATGGAATTTGGTTCTACTGTGGGTAGCTGCAATCAGCACTTTACATCATGTTATGGTATGACGAGCGTAACATTTATGCATATTTACCCTCCTTCATTTTCGCATGGAACATCTCCATCTTGGGACCAGCGCTTCATCTTTTGTTTGTACGAATAAGTGGTTTTGTTCTCTCATTATGGTCATGGCTACATCTGGACGCTTGGAGAACTCTGTTTTTGTCACACCAGTGTAACCCGTCTGCGATCTTTTCAACCAACGCATCGACTACGAATCAATGAGTGGGAGAGAGAACTTCATCCTCATACTGCTTTGAATTGGTGCTGACAGGCTGCTTTTCTTTGGTGGAATTTTGTGGTTTTGTAGGCATATTCAGTCCTGAGTCGCAATTTTTGCCCTTTTCATTTTCACACATTTAAAACACACAAAACCGCCATCGTGTGCCATTGGGAGGAAAAAAACAAAGCCCATTATTCACAATATGTTATTTAGTCTCTTTCTCTTTTGGGACCCTTTCGGCTGTACTGTTAAAACGAAATGATTTTGTTATTCCACCCTACCAACTGCTTCCTGAAACCCGGAAAAAGATTGTCTTAGAATTTGCTGTATGAATTCTTTTTCATTGCATTAAAACCGATTTTAAGGGGCCTTTGTTAGGTAAACATCGTTTTTTCTATTTATCGAAGTAAAATTTAATGGAGAAATGTTTGTCTCTCTTCATACATAGAAATAAGGTCTTCCTATTTTGGCCTAAAAATGATGAAAGGGGTTTTCCGTTAATTTACACCAAAAACTTTAGGCTTGCTTTTCAGAATCTCGGCCGACCCCAATTTGAACTTATTTGTCTACGTAACATGCAGGTGTGCTTGCACATGCTTCATTCAGCGTATAATTTTCATCAACAACTACACGGAAGAACAACCAATTTCCTACCTTTGGTCAGACATAATAGAGCATTGCCTTTCTTCGTAATGACCTACGAGGCATTACCATACAAAATAAGGACGTTTAAGTTTATAATGGAAAGGGACTGGTCTCAAGAGGTGGAGGCTGAATTTACTTTCCAGCGCCTAATTGAAGCAAGAAAAACGTCATCAACACTGGTTTTTTAGTACGAGTGAGGGGTTGTACAGTGCGGTGGGACTGTTTTGTTATCCAGGGTGCTTTGACTTTTCCGTAATAAATGGGCAAATGGATATGGAATGAATGGGTCTTAGATTTGTAGACTCGGAGGTCTGGTCCTACTTGGATGGATAAATGAATCCGGATTGTAGTACCCGTCTTTTGATTTGCCTGAACGCTTGTTTTTGTCTCCTCTTCCATCTTATAGGCCTCCGAATTGGCCCAACCCTACCTCCTCGATCCAGCGGCTGTGATGACCTCGGAGGTAAGTGGGGGAGGGTCAGGGGGGACTGGGGCAGCCGGTGCAGCCTCAGCCACTACGTCCACCGGGCCTTTCGGTAACACCGGTAGGCATAGCAACTGGCGTCTCTGGGGCAAATGGGGACCGTTGGACGCGGAGGTTAACCAGCGACGTCTCTTCAACATCCACCGCTTTTTGGAAGAGCGAATTCTCACAACTGATCGGGAGGCTCCTGGTAGGTTCTTCCAGAAGAAAAGAGCAGTATCGGTGTTGTTTTTTTTGAAGTCGGTGATCACACTTTTGTGGGAATCCAAGTGGAGAACAGACATTAATGATCCATACTGGATGGAATAATAGATCAGAGATCTATCCGAGGTGGATAGATCAGCCTAGGATGGATAAATAAAGGTAGCTTGGAGGATAGGCAATCCTTGAATAAATAGATCCATACATAAATTTGGGGCGGATGGATGATCAGATTTGAGGGAAGCAGGTAGATCTCTGATACCTCTCCCTACTTGCTAGCAGGAACAGAATATTCTTCAAATGCCCAGATGACTTGAGAATGAGAGTAATTTGATTCCCTTCCGAAACCAGTTCCAGAGCTTCACTGCTTTCGATATCTCTGGTCTCTTCTTGTCGAGTTAATGAAAGGTCTAACCATGTAGTTAGTTATCTTAAGTAGGCTTAAATTTTCATCAAAAGTTTTCTCTCATGAAAGTGTATAAGCTGCGGTGCATCGTCGATGGTTTTTAGTCTCAAAGATTAACCGCGTGGCAAAGCTTGAGCTGGGCCCAAGCTGATGGATGGAGATTAGCTCAAAGCAGCTTTGTTGACACCTTAGAGATATTGGAAAGAAACTAGACTTAACGAGGCTTGACGAGACCCAACTGTGACATTGGCGAACCTATTGGCTTGCTGAACCCTTAGTTTAAGTGGAGGCCAGATGTGTCTAGGCTATAGCTAAATAACCACTCCGCTGCCAAATATAATCAGTCGTTGGCAAAGAACGAATCAAATCATGCCAGATGCTGTGTATAGCTGTACCTCATTGCTTAACCATGTCTGATCATTGGCTGTCTTGATAGAGGAAACCGCCAATCCGCTTGTGTTCGTGCGGCAGGTGTCCACATGATCGGCTCGAGTGCGTACGTCCCAGCAGATTGATAAGGAAATTTTGGATAATGGAATTGAATTAGCAGCTAAACAGATCTGGGTTGGATGGGTACCAAAAGGAGGGAATCTAAGGCAGATGGATGGAAGTGTTTTTAATGAATGAGTGGATACATGTTTGAATGGATTCAACTTGAGTACATGTTTTGAAGTACCTAGAATAGGTGAATGGATGGATAGATAAATCCGGGATTGGCATCTGAATGAGTGGGAAATCTTGAGTAGGTGAGTAGGCGGATACCTGAGTTGATCCTGAGTAGATCACCAAAAGGGTATTTAGAGAGATATATAAAGTACGGAGAGACAGGTATGAAAGGGATGGACGAATTAATAGGCGGATCAGTGGGGATGGATGGATAGATTTGGATTTAATAAAAATGAAAGAAATCAGAGTAGATAGATGGGTCTGGGCCTTACAGCTCAAGCATCAATGTGTAAATAAATAGATGGGAGGATGGATCAAGGGAAGCCCTATGGAGGAGTGGGTGGTGGAAGCATCCAGAATGGATGGATACATAGGGAGATGCTGAATAGATGGGCAGTGGGCAGGTGAATGGACAAAGGTATGGGAGTTTTTCCGGATGGATGAGCTGAAGGATCCTGGATATTTGAGTGGATAAAGAACGTGGGTAGACAGCCGAGCTTCTGCGGTGTAAACACCAGTGATTTCCAATTCCGTTCTCACAAGAGCTTTTCTAACTGATACTTCTCAACTCCTCTCACCTCACCCCACCAGCCGACTGCGTGTTGCGCGCCAACGGCAACGTCTACGATGCTGAGGGCTTCCTGGTTTCCGAGGCCAAGGAGTTTGCACCCTCAGAACTGGAAACGGTGCTGGAGACGGCCTCGTGCCTTCGTGCCGCTCTCACGCGCATGGACAGCGACATCACGAGTGATGCGGTGCCGCACCCCAAGCAGGGCCTCAACAAGGCCCTCCTTCGCATCGTCCTCTCCGGTTGTGTCTCCACCTCCGTCTTTCTTCCCCACGACCTCACCTCTCTCTATATCCTACAGGTTAGTCAATCGATTGGTTTGCGCGTCGCCATCCATCGCGTTTGCCCTATTTCCATGCTTTTCTCATTCATCCATCTATGCGTTCATCCGCCCACCCCATATCCATTCACCCACCTATCCATCCACCCACCCATTCATCCCAGCTCTATCCACCCATATTGTGATGGTTCCGCCACTCATTGCCTCGATTCGCCCCTTGTGGGTGTATGAATGGGTTGCGTAAATAAATTAACGAATTAAAGAGATGGTAGTTTAGGTTGTTGAAGGCGTTTATGGTTGAATACATGAATAAATCAATGCGTGTGCTGAAGGCGTAGAGGATAAGTGGAGGAAAGGCTGACTGAAAATGTTTTAAGGGATAGATGGAAGTAATGATGAAAGATGAGGTGAGCAGGTTGAATGTATAAAAGTGTGGCTGAATGACACTATTCATGAATGAATAAGTAGTTAGGAGGAGGACGTTTGCAAAGTTTAGGGAACGAGATTGAATTTTCCTTCTTTTTGTTGATGTTCCAGGATTTGTGAAGCCATTTTTAAAGCCCGATTTCTAAGTTCTCTTCTCTACTGCCACGCACATCGTTCATCTCATGAAGTGTTCATTCACCGCTCTTCTGTAACTCTCTCCTTAGTTATTTTCTGACGCGAATTCTCAACCTCTAGTCCCCCTATCTATCTACATCATTTAATTGTCAAAAGTCATACGATTTATTTTTTTTCAAGGGGAGTGAGAGACCTTCCTTTTGGTGGGGAAATCTCGCACTCTTTGTAATTGCTTTCACTGCAGAGATTTCCTCCAAGTTGATGATGCCTTTCTCAACAATCAAGTCTCACAATCCCTTTTTTTATCATTTTAAATCCTTTATCCCTGTAAACATTGCTCCCATTGAAAGTTCATCCATGTAGATTGAAAATACCTCCCTTAAAACCGAGGTAATTGGTAGATCATTCCTGTTAAAAACCTTTTTTTAGTTCAAAAAAGCTGCCTAATTCCCCCACATATTGACAGATTAAGAGTAGAAGCTTTCGCTCGTGCTCATTCATATACGCACACACGCAACTTGCTGACTTTTATGGCTGCTTTGAAATTGGGCATGGATAGGTTTAATGCTCCACCTCCACTTTCCTTCAAACACTTTCCTTTATTCTTTCGCTTTCGAAACCACATTTAATTCCAGAGTGCTCGGCTGCCTATGACATCTTCAATTCTCACGAAGACCAACGTGGGCCTTCGCTATTAGTGTGAATTATGCAGGAGCTAAACAGTGAGATCAGTTGCCTCATTAAACAGGTGTCATGACCGATTAGCACCCCTTCCGGAAGTACAAATATGCGAAAATTCTTTTTGGAAGCACTCCTGAATTCATGAATAAGGTGTGCATCTCATGCAGGATTGTGCTTCATTTCATATGGTCGGTAGGAAAAGGTAGCTTAATCATTTTACAGAACTGCACAAAACTCTGGAATCTTCAAGGCACGCGGAACGCCTAGCCGTCCTCAGGGTGCGGAACGGGTGGGAAAAACTAACCGAACTTTAATTGCATTGCTTAAGGTATTCACTAAGGGTTTTCCACTGCAGAATTAGAATTTGCGTCTAGGCTGATGCCGCCTTACTGTTAGAGGTAAAGTCCATACATCTGCCGGTAGTTCAGCGTTCAAAATGTTTACTAGTTGTGGAGTGAGGGTACCAGCTACCTTTTTTATACCATTTACTGAAGCATAGGCTCACAATGCTCCGGGGTACGCACTGCCACTGAAAGAAGGGGTGTAACAGGTTTTTAACTTTGCTTGTGAAAATTTTGATTTATTAATGTGGCGATAGGTGGATGAATGGTTACAGTTATGTGCTCTTCTCCACCTACTGACGAGTTTACCTCTCTTCCTCACTCTCTCCCTCCATTAGGAATACTGAGGTATAGGCAGCTTTATTACTACCACATAGAAGGGCTTAGTGTCTACTAGCATGTCGGTCGAGGCTTGGACCGCTGTTTGGTCATCCTCTGCCTCATTTTGAACGGCGTCCTTGGCACTCACTGTGGCTGCGCTTTTAAGTTGGCTCTTGCGATAATTTTCAAGTAAAGTGAAGTAAGCTGCAAGACACTAGCGTAGATCGGTATGTGATTTTCTATCACAGAGGGGACTTTCTGGTCAAATTATTTGTAATGGACTTCACCTTTTGAGACCCATTTGCGAACTGCTTTTTGACGACTTATCTAGTGAGTACTGTGTAGGTCTAATCTACTTTTTAGGAGGCCAATTCTTATACAAACCGTTTCCTATAGAAAGGAGCACCTAACAAGCAAAATTCTTCAATAAGGTATCCGATAGATATTTTTTTCTTGGAAATTCGTTCCAGTTTCCTTCCTTCCTTTGTTTTCGTTTGGCACAATACTGCTTGGATATCTGTTGGAAGTATTCTCAGATTCTTCCAGCACAATAAGCTGTCGATCTCTTTGATATTAGTTATTGCTTATACCTCTTTCATAAATAGTAGTAGCTCTTATTGGAGGGCAAATTTCTCTATCACAAATCTCATTCCACCATTGGTCGTGGTCTAGAACTTCATATTGTCACGTTTTGATGTGTTTTTAGCGGCTCTTCTACTGAGTTTTGACAGATTCAGTCATCCACAGCAAAAACTTTTCTTTCATAGCAAAGAACCGCTTCACTTTGGTATGACGAAAGCTATTACATTCTTCTCAAGGGCTGAATGGTGTTGGATGTGTTCCACTTTATTGTCGCCAATTTTAGTTGTCACAGCTCCGCTACGATTTAAGGCTCACAAGTCTACAAGGTAGCCTTATAATACACGTACAGAAGGCCTGGACGACCAGTAACAGGTCGAATCGAGGGGAATTGAAGAAGTCCACCTAGTAACATTATAATTAGTTCAAGCAAGTGCCTTTTCGCCACAGAAGCACTGAAATAATTAACCGAAAAGGAAATCTTGGAGACATGACTAAGCGGAAGGCCAAGTACTTGGGCCGATAGGTATAACTATCACCAACAAGCCCCATTAGAGGCACTTAGTTCACAATGTACGGTCTTCCACTTTTAACTCATCTCGTCAAGGAACTGACACGAGAAAAATCTGGAGAATAGTCTGAACTAGTCTGGTAACCACATGACTTGATAGAGGCATAGATACACAACTGACGCTACTAAGGTACCATCGATGCGTTATAAAATGATGTTTAATTTGCTGTTGTTTTATAGGTGGGTGACTGCGGCGCGGTAATGGGTAGGTACGTGGGTGAGGCCGCACTGAATACAGCAGAGGGGACACCCGAAGTGGCGCAGGAGGAGGAGGAAGAGGAGGAGGACCCATCCCAGACACGATCGAGGAAGATAAAGCCCGCGGACTGGGATGCAGAGCTGTTGGTGCCTCCTCACAACGCGCAGAACGTTCGCGAGGTGGAGCGTCTCCATTCCCAACATCCCACTCATGAGTCCTCGCTCATGATTTCTGAGAATCGGTTGCTCTGTAAGTCTACTTCACGTTTCCGTTGTAGGGAGCTGGCGAGTGTTTTTTGTTGTTGATCGCTCCTCTTTCTACTTCGAGCCGTCTTCCAAATGTAATTCTGTGGCTTTTAACTGAGTGGACTGCCTATGTTGGTCTTGAAGTACACTTCATACTTAATTCACCTTCATATATTTCACCCTGAGGCTCTAATCGGAAACTTCTTATCGAAATCAGATATTACCAAGTCATACTTGACATTCATCTTTGATCAGATGCTGTTTAAATCTAGTTCTTGAATTTTGAAGAATTCGAAGGTCCCTGGCAATGATCATCCGCGAAAGTTTTATCGTGTGAGTACTTAATTGCGTTTCCTGAATGTGCCTATGAAGGGATCAGTGTATCCACACTGCGGAATGCTCTACTTCCTTACGTCTACTGAAATTGATACCTTGTATTTGATTTTAATTGCACTAATCGCTTTCATCTGTCGCATTTTTCTTATATAAAGGTCATTTAACTTCCCAATAACATTTTAAATTTACACTCCCTCTTCATAAACTTTCCGCTTAGCTTACTCCCCAAACTTCGGAAATCTTGGATGTGCTAATTATTTTGAGCGTATAAAAAGGTTCTATGCAGCAAAAACTCATTCAGCACCTTAGCTTATCAATCAGTACTATAAATTTATTTTGAAACGTCCTTGTACTTAAATATTTTTTTTGTGAAGTGCTTCATGAATGTACTTCTTAAATCCACGGATCTGGGTCGCGTTTTACGTCTCCCATTCCCAGTCATGATTTTTCAGTTGCCACCGATTTCGTGCTCATTTCTATGAATTCTGAATTCGTAAATATATCTTCGAGCTACTTCGTGGATTACCCACCATGGAATGTTGTCATTACCTCGGCTCGTACCCTTTGTAGAGGCCGTGAGATGCCACGAGACTGCTATTTTTCCTCCTCTTATTAGTTAAGCAAACCCTTCAACCCTGATTTCAGTCTCACAAACTGGAAACCACGGCATCCTTCAAAATTTTTTTAAAGGTGCCTTCAAAATCACATAGTTGGTCGGTGAAACGATATTCCAACGCGGGTTTCGAACTTGGAAAATGTCAAAAGCGTTTCCCATCCGATGGAATCTTATTCAAGGCCTTTGGTAGTCGTTTCACCCCATGTCTCCTTCTGGGAATCCCGGAAGCGCCGCTTGAGTTCCCTTTCAAACAATATGTCTGTTCTAATCACATGCCTCCTTGTCCTTCTTATGTTTTGAAGACCGCGAAATGTTGTCGAAGATTTTTTTGCAGTCGCTATTGCAGGTTTCTTTGAAGCTGTTTTCAAATCTGCGCAATTACTCGGTGTAGTACCTCCCAAAAGTGCTTCTCAGACTTCTTAGAACTTGAAGGCGTTTTTCTTCCGCTTGATCCGTACCCAGCATATTTGACTTACTTTTTCTGAATGTTTTCGAATAGTTTAAGGAACCACCGGATTCGGTCTTTCAGGGGAAGAGTTTTGAGGAAATGACGAGTTTTCGTTCTCTGTTGAATTGAGGCAACGAATCCTATTCACGTCTGGAATGTCTCTGAAGTTTTTTCGTCAAAAGTTTATTTACCCCAGGCATCCACTCAGGACTTTGCATCAACGCGCATACCTGGAGGCGGAGACGTGATTCCCTTGGAAGTAGTTAATTTTTTTGCGCCCATTCGGTTGCCACACCTGGAGGCCACCAAAAATCATGTAATACTCGCTCAGTTTTCTGCTCCATCCGGAAGCCCTGTAAGATAGGGCCAGGGAATGTCCCCGACCATACATAATGTCTTTTTCGACAAACTTCAATTGTACGCCTGCTCTGAGGTAGGGTTCCAGCCTTGCGGGGTAGGTGTTCTTAGAACCAAATTTCCGGAAAATAATCACTATAAAGTTAGTCAAAATGCGCTTATTTTAATGGTTTCAAGTTCATGAAGCATTAACAAATCGTGGGTATTTCGCATTTAGCATCGGTGAAATTTTTCTCAGAATTTATGAGTCCTTGCAGCTCTTTCTGATACGTAAATCACTCGCTACGTAGCTATAAACGATGGCACGTTCTTTTAAGGGTCAGATTTTAGAGACTTCAAGGCGGCTGCTGTGAATGACTGTCCGTAGGTAAATCCGTTTGCACACCCTCGGGGTGAGCCACTCAGCCCTCCGGGTAATCAAATGATTTGAAAATAGTTGGGTTAAAGCGGTTGAATTAGCACGAAGCTGATTTACACCAAATGGCGATCTTTTAATTTGGTTGGAGGTAAGTTGAACAAATGGCATTCCTTCCTGATGCTGCGTTTTTAACTGCAATCAGGAATTACGAGTAGTCTGTAAGTCTTGCCCCTTCTAAGTCTCTCGCCATGCAATCACAAACGAAAAAACGTTGGTTAGAAGCCTGTTACGAGAAGTGTTTAATGCACATCAGGGCTCTTGAGTTTGCAAAAAATAGCTGTGTTTAAGGCGTAAAAATCGCATTCATTTTTCCACACAATTCCTGATACATTTGCACCCGCATCTCAGCCGTCAGTGCGGCCAAACCCTCACCTTAGGCAGTCTGTTCCAAATTGTGATAACTTTTGGAGACTGCAAGTTTCTGCGTTCGTGAGTTAGTTTATTGCGTTCATCCTTCGTCCCTTAGCATGTGTGTGTGTCAGTCGGACGTTCCACACCTTAACTGAGCGATAATGACTGCCCAGGCGCGTTGGACTGAGTACCACCACGACTGAGATGGTCACTGACAGATAACGTCTTATTGCTGAGTGACTGATTAGACCAACACCCTACTCTACCGTGCCTGAAGTCTTCCGCTTCCGGCATCGCCATAGGCTCTCCCGTGCACACATTGCTACTGTGTGTGCTGGTGCCACGATAGCGTCCTTTTTGTACTTTTAGCCTTAAAAGTCATGATGTGACTGGAGCGTCCCCCGCCGATTTGTTTTGACTCCGTGGCTTTGCACTTTCAAGCAATAACACATTTATTTAGAGGTCACTGGATAGCTTAATCTCCGCCACTTATCTGCGTCTAATCTGTGCCTTATTTTCTGATTTGTTGGTCGGCTGGTTCCTTCCGCAGGCGAGTTGATACCACTACGAGCGTTCGGTGATATTCGCTACAAAATGCCGGCGAAAGTGCTGCGTGGCATAGCACGACTCTGTGGCCTGCCGCCGAGTTACCCTGTGACGCCACGCTTCTACATCAGTCCACCGTACCTCTTCGCTACGCCTCAGGTGGTGTGCCACCGCCTCAATCCGACGCGCGACCGCTTTGTCATCCTCGCATCAGATGGACTCTGGGATATGCTCACGCCCAAGCAGGCCGTCAGCGTGGTCGCTCAACACTACCTCGACTACCACGGAGTGCGTAATGCCCCCCTCTTTGTGGAATTGTGGAATTTTTGGCGGAGATTTAAGTTTTGGTCCACTCATCCCCCTCCCCATCCATCTAATCTGATCAAGTATTAATATGCGTTAGATTGGAATTATTTTCCGAAGCTCTTTCATTTTTATCTGTTGGGAAATAGTGACCAGCCACATTGCTGCTTATCACGCGTACACTAATAGCATGATTGTTTCGCTTCCATCCTGTTAGGATCCCTCACTGGCGGGACCACGAGACACTGCAGCCAGCCGACTTATTCGTACTGCCCTAGGTGGACGAGAGATGGACCCGGCGCGAATCGCAATGCACCTGTCTGTTCCCGCTAACGTGGCACGCTTTTATCGCGACGACATAACTGTTCAGGTCATCTACCCCACTCCCTAGATAGCTCTCCACTCCCTTTCTCTCTCTCTCACTTTGTACAGACTCCCCCCTATCTCTCGTCTACCCCTCCGTCCAACCGGATATCCACCGACTGAGCAATGCCCGTAGTAGGAACCAAAAAACAGCTACCTATCTACTTCGCACCACTATCTTTCAACAGATACTAATGATGCCAAGGCTGCATTTCTAGCTCTTTACCTCCTCCTCCTTCTCCTCCCACACCCTCTCTGAGACTGCGTTCGTTTTACAATGTAGATGGTCAATTTGGGTGTACGTGTTTTTTTTTCGCTTCTTCTTTTCCTTCCTCCTCGTATCTCATTTGCTGGGAGTGGTAAGCGAGTGTTGACTCCCTCTCCTCCCTTGATACTTGAAGAAAGGGTTTCGTGTGTATGCGTGTGTGTATTTCGGGGTCTGAGGAGGCTGTAAAGTTTTCTTCGGCTCTCTCGAATTGGTTTAGAAAATAAAATTAAGGTGTATGTACTTCTTCTTTGTTCCTTGAGATCCGGATGCGTTTCAATTCCTTTTTTGTCTCAGCCGGAGAGGATTTTGTCTGGGAGGGAAAGACTGGAAGAGAACTGATAAAGTCGTAGCAAGAATGATTGAGTTTGCGCTTGTTCAAGCGAATTTTAGCAAAGGAACAGGAATTCCAAAAACGTAAATTTGTTTTCTAAATTCAACGTAGTCCACGGATGTGTTGATTTGGTAGAGAGCGATCACTCGGGTTCGTAGTTTTGAACGGGGTGAGTTCCTTGGGTTGATGTTTGCGATGCGTTGTGGTTTGTTGGAAGCAAGGTTGGTTTAATAAGCTCTTCTTGACTGTGATAGCTAAACACTGAGCCCATTAAAGCACCGTCGGCAATTTCTCGTTTGAGTTGGTGGAGGGGAGCCTATTGGCTGCTGCATGCTAAAAATAAACTTAAAAGGGTATGGTTGAGAAAAGTCAAAATTCCCACTGTTTTAACTTATACGACAATTATTTTTGACTCATCTATCCCACCAAAGAAAGAATCTGCCCACTCCTAGATATTTGGTAGCCATGGTCATGGTGGCAGAGGAATCTTTGAGGTTGTTTCAATAGAGCGCTAAATCCCACGCACAGATTTGAGGAAATATTGGGCAACCGAAGTAGTTGATAGGACTTTTGGTGAAGCTTACCCTAATCACCTCTGGTAACTTAGAGGAACTTGTTAAGTCCATGCGATTGTTTATGTGTATGCATGATAACGCCTGGAGAGGTTTGTTAGTCTACCCACGTTGTTCTGCCTGCTTTTGCATATTTTGAACTCATCCTCGATTGAACTAAACTTCCTTACGTAACAAGAGTCGGTTTCAAGGCTCCAGAAACCTGGCACGAAATTTGCGTAGCGCTTTAGGGAGGTTCAGTAGCAGAACCTACCGTCAAGCGTGGCTTCAACATTACTGGAAATTAGTCATTCCAGATTAACATGTCAACCAGATTTTTAGTGCTGAATAACACGAGTGACGAATCGTTTCGTTTACACCCACATCAGTTTTCAAAGGCGTGGTGGTAAGAAGTAAATGGATTCCTCCCACCACCCACCTAGGTTAGAAAAATGTGCCTGTGGGGGATGCTCTTGCGCTGAATGTTTCACTTGTGATGCGAAACGAAGTCTCCTTAAGTAAGCAAACACATCATCGGTCATTCCCACACCTCTAAGTCACACAGCACCGCATTCCCAGAAAATGGGGGGATTCACTTCGTGTGTGTGGGTGGTGAGCTGCGGATGCCACTGTTCACTAGCTGGTGGCCTACGAATTAGGTCTGAGGTTTACCTCTTCTCTGTGCAACACCTCTCTGAAGACAGTGTAGGCTAGTCGATCAGTGAGAAGAAAATCCTGTGCCAACTCTGACAAGGCAGCACATGATCACAAGTAGCCTCGTAACCCACACTTTTAAAGTTTTTTCATCCTAGAATGTCTGTCTTACACTGCCTCGCCTCTAAGGTGACGATGATCGCACTCTCCTGGCATTGGCACTAGACAATCAAATGGTCACACGTCAGGTGACATAGGCAATTGTGAAGTCTTACTAGAAAGTGGGGGAAAGGAGATGCATTATTCACTCCTCACTGTTAATTCAACCATGAAAGTATTAAGGAAAAGGGACTCGGCTAATGTGATCAATTAAAATATGAAAGTGAGGATGCGGAGAGCATATTTATGGGTCCCAAAGTGACTACTTTTGGATAAATTTGACAGCCAGAGAGTGAAGGGGCTCCTTGAAATCACTTCCGCAAGTACAAAACTTAAGGGAGGTCAAAATTCGTCCCAGCTGGGACAAAAACACCTTTAGGGAAGTAAAATCAACATCTTTTTTTTGGCGTTTCCATTTCTTTCGAAATTTGATGATCCCGTCGTAGGCCCACAACACATTCTTTATATTTTACAGACATATACAGACATTCGGCAAGTATTACCTCAAGATGGTAAAACAACCCAGTTGGGAAAGTGATATTTTTCTGTTCTTATCCCACAGCTCTCACTCCTTCCTTTTCCCTAGAAAGTATTGTCAAATAAATCAACTGAATTTACGATCTTTGTGTCCCCACTTGGTGACACGAAAAGGCTGCTCTTGTGGGTCCATAAATGGGCACTTTGTCAGTGGCACATCTGTCCTAAGGCCAACTCAGGTGTGCTCAATCCCACTACTTAAGTACCAACGCGGTGTCCGAGTTCGCCTTTGTATTACCTTCAGAAAGGGCAAATTTCGAGTAGACATCTTCACAGAAGGAATTCCTAACTTATTTACCAAAATGAAGGGAAATTAGCTCCAGCCAATCCTCTAAAAGTAGTTTGAAATCAATTACTTCCAAGTATTATAGTGTAAAATTCATGGAGCCAGACGTCATCAATTTTCCAAGCAAACAAATGCAATTACCTAAAATAGGTTTGTCATAAAAGGTAAATGCCATTTAAGAGGAGCAACATTACATTCAAAAAAGGAGCGACTTTTGGAATTAATCAATGGAACGAGACACAAATGGTCAGCCAAAAGAGTACGCTCTTCTCACCATCAATTAGGCTAAATATTTATTTATATGTTGTTTACAGACACAAATAGAAGCAAAAAGACTTCTCAAAGTACGGAATATGCATAGTGAATGGTTTTACAAAGTCAGGAGAAGGCACCGGAGTTGGTTGGTTAGGTTTCCTCTTCGACTCTAAACACAACCAGGCGCAAACCTGTAGGCTTTCACTGCTACAACTGCACCTCAGGGTGAAGCACCCAAGACTGCGTAGGACGACAGGAGGTGGAAGTCAACTCGGCGATGCCTTCACCTGTGCGCATTATCTTCTCAGTGACTTGCAACTAGACCACAAAGTTTAAACGAACAAATTGTGAGGTGTAACAAAATGAAAGGGCTTTTCCATTGAATTTTTACTTAACAACTGTATTCTAAACATGACAAGTCAGTTGACTACTTCGTCACTTGTTTAGGCATTCCATGAGAAAAGTGATGCGAAATCGGCAAATTACACCTCTACATTCGCGAGCCAGATGACGGATGCATTCCTGACATGCATCCTTCAACAGAAGCACCATCACGGAGTGATTGACAAGAAAATTGCTAAAGAGTAGTTCTGCAGTCAAGTGAGAAGATGGGAAGAATAGAAATAGGTGAAAAGATGGGTCAAGGCGGGCCGAAGGAAAGAATGGGATGAACAAAAGGCAGCCATGTATACAGGCGGAGGAACCCCTATTATCAAGTCTAACTCTTGCCGTTTTGCGCATTCAAAGATCCAGCATCCTGCCGTATGGATGTAACAGTGTAGGTCGAAGGTTTGCTGCACGCTTTGTGAGGTGACAAGAAGATTGAAGCGGTCAACTCCGGCGCCTTTCCCTGACTTGCACAACCATTCCATGCGCTCATTTCACACTCAAATGTTAGCGGTACAGAGTACTTCTGCCAATCCACCTCAGGGACGTGGTGTTATAGGTGACTGATTATTACCATGTTTGTAAGTTTTTCATCAAGTTCAAGTCCTCTTTAACGATGCAGTACCGGAGTCTGCCTATCCCTTCCATCTCTGGCTCCATACCCTTCGAGCGAAAAGACGGAAGAGGGGAGGACATCCTACATTAGAGTGGTACGAAAAAGTTTACAAATCGTCGTAATTTATGGAGGGATGGGGAGAGGTCGGATTTTGTTCTTCGCTTAGTGATTGGTAAAGTCCCCTCAGCCACATTGTAGGTGTAACAGACCGCTTGCCACCTTACAATGCCATGCCACAGAAGTCACTGATGTCCAAACCCATAGGATTTAAAAATCTTCAGAATTGTTGGGTTGTGGCGAGAGGGTTTTTGTTTCAGGCTAGCGAATTTTTGCAAGAAATTCAAAGGTTTACGTACATTTTAAAAATTAAGGTAAATACATCAAAAGTACTTGCACTAATGAACCAAATCTACGACAACTGGTTCCCACATCGGTTATCCCAAACGCATGGTCCTTTACCCTCCGCCTAATAGGCACTATGGAATCAGAGAAGTAGTTTTATTTTTTTTAGGAGTTAGAGAATTTTATCAGCAGAAAATTGAAGGAAATGACACAATCCTGTACGTAGGTTGGACAAAACATGTACCCAAGAAGGATTTCATCTGCTGTTTTGCGAGGTGAGATGAGATTCTGTGATGCCTCTAGCAGAGCCCCACCTACTGCCTAAATACATGCACGCAGATATATCAACACGATCATAAATGGGGATTGAAGGTGCTTTCAGGCCTGGCAGGCAGCTAACACCCAGCCATAACCCACCTGGGTACTAGTTACTCATACCGGTAAACCTATTCGGTTCAGTACGCACACTACCAAAGTGTTGCATCCCCAAAGCCATACAGCTCACCAGGCACTTTGAATTTTCCCCTTCCGACCGATCATTGTCAAGCTACAACAACCACCCCTTTGCTGCTACCACAGACTTTACTACGGTTCAGCGGTTGCTTGGTATCGTGAGACACATGTGGAAACAACTGTGCAGAGTACAGTAGAGCAATTGCAGTGAAAGTTTTTGAGAGGTGCTTTAGTTGGATCTCTACTTCATTTTACACGCATAAAAAAATCCCTAAAACGCCATTGCTGAGCGTATTATTAAACGCCGTCTCTTACTGGCTGGCGCATGTCTTGGACTACTTCAGGCGTAAATCAAGGTGGCGAGCAACGGTAGACTTGGGGCGTAAGACAGCGTGTGGCGGATGACAATACTTCTTGTGAACAAAATGGAAAAATTGAAGACCTCGAGGACGGTGCCGAGAGGAGATGCTCAGCCTATCGGTGGTAGCCCGACCCTACGTCCGTCATTTGGGATTTGGACAGGGGAGAGTTCTAAAAAAATTGCACAAGAAACGATTCTTCCTGATGTAATAGTGAATCCAATCATTCCCAGGCATTTACACAAATAGCTCCCCCTTGTGATTCACATTTCAGCTTCCGCGGCACAGTGAATTGGCCTGTCTTAGGCTATTTCAGGCATGATGACAAATGGCGAGACTACCGACTAGTGCCATTTTAACGCAAGGATATAAAAATATAAGTGCTCGTGCGGCAAAACCGATGCGCTTTTTACTCCTTGGAAATATTTTCCTTCTTTCCTGGAGTTTTGAGTTGGAAGCTCACAAATTCACAGAAACTGGAGTTTTTTCCTCATGGCTGAAAGCTGATAAAAGCTTTTCTCCTCTAATCAGTACAGATGATAATGCCAATTGTACCATGGTGGTGCAGCAGTGATGCGAGCTATATGACGAGGCCGTTTGGCAGGTACAAATCAAGCATAAAACCTGTGCGGAAAAAAATGCAGCTCCCATTCCCTAGAAACTAATTTTTTCATCAACCCAAAAGTCACAGTTTGTATGAAATGCTTCTGGTAGGTGCCAACACACCCATTATACATTTGCCCTTGATTGGCATCCACACCCATTCAGACTGACTTTAGAATGAGGAGTCGCACTAAATTGAGGCGGCTTACTGTTGTCAGTGTGTGAGTATGGACGCAAAAGAGGTTCCAACCAGAGTAATCAAGAGAATGACGTCGGGAAAGAGGTCTTCCATGGCATCAATCTGAGCACACCTTTAGTAATTTTACCATTTCACTTGCCTTTGACCTTGCAGTAAGCATTAGTACAATTAAAGTGTGTCATCACGTGGTGCTGGCCGATCGGGCAAAGGTCCAAGTAGAGCGTGAGCTGCGAGAAATTCTAGAACGTCTGCTGAAGGAAAAAAAGTAGAGAAAAATCAGAGTGTAAAGACTTTTTAATGGTTATATCCGCAGCAACACTACTTATTTGTAATTACTGTCAACTAGTCGCGACCGCGGCCAGAAGTGTCTAAATGATAGAGACTTCAGGGAAGAAATCAGAATGCCAAACGAAACACAGCACAGATTTCTTCGGAGTGAAAGGGGAGTCCCGGAATCCTCGTATTTATACCCCCTTAAATGGCTCCAAGGGGAAGGGAAGTAGTTGGATAATGTACCGTTTCCCCTGATTAGGGGTAAGAAACGGAAAAAGCGAGATGGAGAAGTTTCTAA